TAGGAATTAGGAACAGGTGTGCTACGATATTAAAAATGCGAGACTATTTAGTTTTGTTTAAGAAATTTATGGATGCAATTAAATTTGCAGTGCGACAAGGCAGAGATTCTATCTGTGCAATTTTATCTTAATGTATCTATAGTTTATAATGTTTATATCAATAGCCAAATAGAATATAAAATAAAAACTCACTGTAAATAAGCAATCACAAGTGCTGAAAAAGAATATAAGCACCTCACAATTATTCTTTGAAGAAGATAATAAAATTCAAAGGACAAAAGAAAAAAGCAGTGCTCATCACTGAAACAAATAACAAAAACTGGAGGAAATTGATCCGAGCCCACTTGATTTAAAAAAAAATCTATTTGGCCACTTTTCATATAATTACGTAGTTCAATTCACGCAGAAATTCAATAATGTCAATATAAATGTAATAGTACTCGATGTGCGAAGTGGACTTTTATCTTTTTTTAGATTTTATTGGGTGGCTGAATAAATTTAATTAATAGTTATCAGTCCTAGATTTGATTTTTTGGCTAAACTGAAAATTTCTCAAGAAAATTTTACATCCTTGAAATCTTTAAACGCGATTTAACAATGATGTGGCCATCACTTATTTTTTCCGACACTCGACTGCCCATAAATGTTTTATTAACACTTAAAAATTGACTGACTTTTTTTATTTAAAAAAAAACTTCAAATTGTCTGTAGTCTAAATTGAGCCGTTAAAACGGCTATTGGGCTAGAGTTCGTTGAAAACCAGCGTCACAGCCTATTCTGGGCTGTGGTTATAGCTGAATAAGATCCTTTTGCATACGCTACAGCTACACACATAACAGTTGAGAATCAAGTTATATAGTAAAAAAGTATTGCTTAAATACCCTGTTTTTGTGTTATTTCATCTGTAATGTGGTGCAATAAAAGGTTTCTATTTTTCATGTCATTCTCATATTTATAGAAAAAAATTACATAATTTTTGTGTCTTTAGTAAAGCCAGAAACAAAACTTCAAATAGTACTCCATAATTATATTTTCAAAAATACTGATGAAACCAAATTATTTAATTATGCATGAAAAAGCAAATAATAAAAAAGGATTATCAAAACAAGTTTTCATGAATATTTTCAAAATGAATTCATAAAAATGGGTGTGCAAGGGGGAGATCGACTATTATCCTTATAGACTCCCCAACAGTCAACCTCACCTGCTCGTGGTGCATCCTGCTAGTCAACGAACGAGGCTCTGGTATAACCATTTCGTAAACTCGGGACCTATAAAATAGCTTAAACGGTAATGGGCAACAGCATTATCACAGAAGTCTAAGTTTCGAACTGCGGTCAGCAACACGCCTGCCCAGCGCGGTGACTAGGGTATTACCCCTAAATGAGCAGCACTACAACATCAGAATGACCCCCAGTTCCGGCTAGCCTCGCTCTTCCTGGTCATCGCGGTGGCGGCCATGGTAACGGCGGGGTGGGGGTTGCTAAGAACTCAACCAAAAACCTAACCTAAGGTCGCAACCAACTGAATCTGGCTACGTATAATGGACGCACGCTGTGGCTGGACGAGCATATCGCGGAACTCGAAGTAGAACTAAGTCGCATCAAATGGGACATTGTAGGATTATCTAAAGTCCGAAGACAGGGCGAGGTCACGATAACTCTAGAGTCAGGTCACTTGCTCTACTTCAGAGAGGGTGACCAACTTTCTTTGGGTGGTGTCGGTTTTGTCGTCAATAAGTCACTTGTTGACAATGTTGTGGAGATCGGAAACGTGTCGGCGGGAGTGGCGTACCTTGAAGGTTGTACAAGTATGTGCTCCAACGTCCGCGCACTCTGACGAAGAGGTCGAAACTATGTACGAAGACATAGCCAAGGTTGTGTCTCGTAACAAAACACATTTCAGCTTGGTAATGGGTGACGTTAACGCGAAAGTGGGAGTATGCGGATGCGACGAATCGAGAGTAGGTCCGTATGGTTATGGATATAGAAATACTAGGGGGCAAATGCTCGTCAACTTTGTCGAAGGGCAGGGGCACTTCATGATGAATTCCTTCTTCAAAAAGAAACCCCAAAGAAAGTGGACGTGGCGGAGCCCTGATAGAATGACGAAAAATGAGATCGACTTCATCTTAACTGACAAGCGATATATGTATATTCAGAGATGTCTGTGATCAATAATCTGAAATCACACCTGAAGATATCTGAAGGATTTATTGGACTGATTACTATCGTAATATCTGCTGCAATTGGGATTCATCAAAATAGTCATATTACTATTTTTTTCACACTTTTTTATGATATGATAAGTCTAATGACCTCCATCTCACCTGTTGGAAAGTGACGTCATCGTCAACGGACCTCATGGTCAACGACGGAACATGCAAGCCTATATAATACTTATTCAATCTTGCCCTGAAAAGGCCCAATTTCTAACGTTCAGGGAATAAAGTCTGTAGGCAAGGAATACCACTTTATCGTTCATTGTTGTCATTCAGTGTTGGTAAAAAAGTTGATTGACTCATGTAGGTATGGCATATTGACTGTATCCATCTAGTATGCAACCAGAAATAGAGACGAAATGTCATTTAATTTGTTGAAAATTATTCTGCCAAATCATTACGGTGACAAATGCGCTCCGATTGGCCAGCCCGAATTCGATAACAATTGACGGGTGTCGTCAATTGTTTCACTTCAACAAACAGTTTAACTGTAGCTTTGCTATAATGGACGATTATTGAAAAATTACATATTTAATATTTAATTACCAATGAAATGTAATTCAGTTTGTTTTGTAATTAGATGTTTTGCTGTTTTTCCCACACCACCGAATGGAACAGCTTTCCATTATTAGAGATATTATCTTTATTACAATAAATATAGACACAGGTCATAGATATAGGTCAGTTGTTGGTGCTGTACTATTTCAGCTTACTAATTTGTGATTTCATCGCAAATGAGAGTTAATATTTAAAAGTGATATAAGGCCCATTTGAATGATAAGTTGCCAGGGATGGATGGCCCTAATTTCGTCTCTATTTCTGGTTATATACTCGATGACTGTACGTAACACAAAGTGAAAAATCAAAATCTTCAAGGAGAAGTTGGCCAGGTAGACCCAGCAAATGTGTATTAACTTAGCCCTGGACTACATGAGATTGTATCAACCCACACATATCACATTGCTGGAGCAGGGTTTCCCTACCCTGAGGAGAAGTCATACTTCACCACACTGCTCATATACACTTTTTAGAACACACATGAATAACTAACAGAACCCAGTGGTATGCCATTTTAACTACGATGTTTCCCTTTAGAATTAAAGCACAGGATAAATCGAAAATGTACTGCAAATTATTAAAATAGTGCATTATTAGTGAATATGTATGACATATGATGTAAACCAATGATTTAACTGATTATCAACACATTTGCTAATAGTGGCACTGATGGCAAATGATACACAAAAAAAACAATTCAAGGAAGTTATATAAATATGTTTACAAAAATAAATTAAAAAAAAAGCAGGAAAGCGAAAACATTGTACATTTTTAAAGTAAATTTCTACTAATCATAGATTTTTTAACACAGAATCTAATAAAAAACAAACCAGCCTGAAAGAAACGAGTACACAATTTGGCTTTAGAGTAAAAATGGCAGGTTGAGTTTCTTAATTACTTATTACCTCTTTAAGCAGATGGCTTTATAGCTAATGCTGAATAAATAAATAATATTTAATTAAATTTATTTTATAAAATATCATATACATTTTGTCAATAAATAAATAATACTTGGTTGTATGGCATTACTCTTTAATACCTTCAATGTTAATAAGCAATTGTAAAAGTTTGATGTACAGATGGCAGCAAAGCTAATGTATTCACGGATTTTGTCTGTTGCACTGGGAAGCGATATTCAAACAAAAGTATATAGCTTGATGTGCTGTTGACTGTACATAGCGGTGGCAAACGGACTTTCAAACATATTTTTTAGACTAAGCTGGGAAATCGTTGTTCATTTTGTAGTGTGACAAAAATCAGGCCCTTTGGGTGTTCTTCGTTAAAAAAAATAAAATTCCTGATCATGTTTCACAAAAAACTCAGTAATGAAAACCCCCCTAGAACATCCTGCCATGATACACACTGTTCTCTTAAATAATATGTCTTCTGTCCTTTAACAGTAAAAACAAAATCATATAGGTAATTCAAACAAAACAAACATCTAGTAGAAAGAATCAACAGACTTTTCATTTTGGGTTCAGGTTTGTGTGGTACTACGGGTAAATATATGGGCTTACTTATGGAAGGCAGAGAAAAAGATGGGAAGATGATGGCTGGCCCATTTTAGCAACAACAGGCAAGGGACAAGGGAAACTGGGGAAGTCTCTAGAGGAGGCCTATGTCAAAAGACAACCTGATGATATGGACTGCATTTCATTATAGGAAAATGATGTACACAGATTTATTTATAATGAATTATTAATATCGATTTCTTAGGTTTTCGCGATTGTTACACATAGGAAATGAAACTATTTTTCCGCATTTAAATCAATCAACTGTGACCATGGGACCTGTAAAGGGCCAGAAACTTCAGTTTGTTTGAAAAAACAAATATACACGATTTAAATCCAGAAAAATAGTTTCATTTCCTATGAATTATTAATCTTCAAATTATTTCAGTATTAATTTTAATTTGAAATTTATGTCTATTATTTTTAATATTCATCTAGGTTTAAGATATTTTTATATTTTTTAATGATGAACGTATTTTCTACAAATTAATTATATTGTAACATTTGGATTGTATAAGCAATAAAGGCTATTTTTATTATTATTTTAGACTTTTTATTATTATTATTATGGGTAAAATATACAGGCTTACTCTGGTATTCGATAATAGTAGAGGCAATACCATTCCTAAATACCAAATAAGTGGTGTGGTACTATAGCACAACTTTAGACACTAAATGTATTACAAAAATAGAAATGAAGATTTACTCACATTCTCCATAGAATTAAAACTCCTGTCCCAACTACTGACAGGAGTTCCAAAGAGATACCCAGGGTACCGTTCGTTCATTTAGCACACCTTTAATATGCTTCCTTAGATGTACCTTCACTCAATCTTGCACTTAAAATATTGAGCAATACACTTTATTACTTCATTTTACTTTTATTCCATCAGTACCTGAAAATAATAAAAATTATCAATTATGACAATGACATGTTTTAAAATATTATTTACATAGGTGAACAAAAATAAACTAGAGTCGAAAGGAGAATGAAAACTTCTAGCAGGGAATCAAGGCAGCCATGGTTGCTATTTTAGGGTCATTGCTCTCTAATTCTTCTGAATTTCAGGTCACTGATCCCAAAAAGGTCGTGTTCGTTAAAGGTTATTAAGGTTTTATGAAAAATTTCGTCTGCACAGTTTACGAACAAACATGTGGACGTAATACTTGTGAAAATTATTAAAATTCAGTTTTGTTGTAAACAGATTGAAAAAAAATTAAAATTAGTTAGAAAATAACAATATTTTGAGATGATATTGTTAAAACCATGAATGAACATAGTAAACAAAACTGATCTTTTCATCAAAAAATCTTTGGAACTTGGACCTGTAGCATCGGATCATATATCTTGCACTTGTTCTACAATGAAAACTAATAAATTACCATCGCAATAAATATAATATTGAATATTTACGCCACTTTTATTTCGAAAAATATTTTTTCTACTTTATTGTTTACACGCATGTGAAAAAATCATCTAACCAGAATGTTTTATACTTACACTATATTTCTTATAATAAGTTAAGAATCCTAAATTATTTTTAAAGCTTTTACAATTTTTCACTTTTATTCAGTAAAATATGACAAACGCTCCTTCTCCCGACAGTAAGGAGTCACAGATAACGAAAATAATGTTGCCGCTACATAAACATGCAAACGAAAAAAAAACCGAAAATATCAGCCATAGAGATGAGATTAACTAGATATTCTATTAATCATATAATGTCTGTCCAGAGCTTAGAAGATGGAAAAAAAATAAAAGAAAGGAGCTGCCCTAGCTACAGAATCAACGTGCTTATTAACCAAAATTTGAAAGTTACAAATGGCGGATTTCTTTAGTGTTGTACCATAATCTATCGATAAGTCATTATGGACATGCAAATGTATGGCTTGAATGTTGAAACTGTTTTTTTTTTGTTTCTTTAGTTTACTGTAAGCAAAGTATGCCTAAAGAAACACAAGTCTAATAATTTAATCTCGAGTAGTATCATATTAGTAAGCCGAACGATGGCAAGGCAAGGCAAATAGGCTGTCTATACGTTGGTATTGGCCTTTACCCGTCAACGTTGGACTAACATGTCATTGTAATGCAGGCTTTAAGAAAATAGTCGTTTTTAAGTTACAGTTGTCATTGGGAAAAATCAGAAACGAGTGGATAATTTTGTTTTCAGCCACTGAGAATAATTAGAAAATAAGTCTTGTTTAACCTAAATTGAATATAAAATTATTTACCAATAAACCTAATGATGGAATAGCATTGTCATGTAATCTAGTTACATTCAAAGTTCTGTTAAAATTTGACTCTTCAAAATGAAGCAAACAAATGAAGATGGTCTTTGATCCAACGTTTATATTCGGCAGTCCTATGATTTCCAACCATTTTTTCTTCCTTTTTTCATTTGTAGGAAAACTTGAAATAATAATAATAAAACAATAAAAACCTCGTAGTGAATTGTTTTAATAACAGAATATCGATAATATGTATGCTTACAAGATCAACACTATTTCAAAATAATCGCTAACAACGATCATTAAAATATACAAACAAACAGGCAATCTAAAGTAGGTAACAAAAGCAAAATTTGACAAGATTTATAAATAAACTACTTAAATAAGTCTAATTACATGAAATATTTGGGCTATTGTGTGATTTATAGACAAAAAAATAACACATGCCTGTGCAACGTAACATTCGATTGATTTGCACTTTTTCTAAAGCCACATCCATTAATGCTGCAGCGTCGCAGTTTTATTAATACCTAATTATTTTCACTGTCAGTATTTTGTCCAATTTCATTATAATACACTTCCCTTTGACAACGGTATCATGTACCACATGTACTGCGAAATGGACACAGTTGGCATTTAAGTTGACGTTACGTATTTTCGATTCCCGTATTTGACACAGACCAATGTAATGTTATTTCTTTTGACTTAAGACAGCACGTAATAGTTAAACAAAGACAATAACATGTGTATGTTTTCGATGTCGAAATGCTTCATATACATATAACGTCTGATTTATATATGTCAACGTAACATGTCCTAAGGCCAAGAGGGTCTACTCTCGATCTCCGTCTGACATCCGTCCGAAACAATTACTGTTAAATAAGTATTAATTGACAAAATTGAAAGACAAGTATCAAGTATAAAGCTTCATTCGCATCACGCGTCTTTTCATTTGGTAGTAATTGTTTCGGACGGATGTCGTACGGAGATCGAGAGTAGACCCCCAGAAAATTAAAACGATTTTGTGATTAATTATAAAACTAATTTAACGAAAAAAAAAGGTAACACTTCAAATTCTTTTTACAAAACGTTACATTTTTATTATTTAATATATAATAATATAAGACTTAAATTCGCCATAAAATCTTCCTCTCGGGAAACGTAAGCAAAGATTTTATTATGTTTTCTTCACGAGGGATTTATTACTTTACTTTTTGAACGTCAATTATAAAACGTTGCCGATTTCTAAATGAATGTTTAATTGCTCTCGTTTAATTCCTATGTTTTGAAGAATACTGAAAACCAAATTTCCTGTAAGGATCCTAAAAATCATCATTAATTTTCTTCTTAAAAATCAGCGTTGGCATTGAAAGCTGTTAACATGTTGCCCAACATGTTAACAGGGTCTTAAGAGGTGGCATTCATTGCAATCCTCCTAGCCGTCGTCGGCCGCGTGATGCAGGTTTATGAATGTAGTCGTAGCGTGCAAGCCATCCTGCAATTCTGCAATGCGTCCTACGACTACGAGACTCCATACGTGGGCCATATGCAGGATAGTGTGTGAGCAGTCTCCTGCCTGCGCGGCGGACTATCATTAAGGTAGTGAATAGGCCCTTTTAGTCAAGTCAATTATTTGTTTTTTCATGTTCATTTTTTTTATTCTAAACTTGATGATATCTACATTTATTAACTAACTTAAATAATTTTTCAAAAACATTTACTCGTGGATTCGAATCAACGTTGCCAATGCCAATTGCTTAAAATCCCCAAAAATCAAAGTTAAAATCGCAAAATTTGGGGAGAGCAACGTTGGTACTCCCTACATTATAAATTCATCGTTTACAAATGCAACAAAAGGTTAAGAAATTAAAATATAATCATCTATTACGTTTGCTTTGAATATAAATGACACACAGAATGTAAAATGTAGAACAAATTATAAAATCAGATGACCTTAAATCGTTTATTTATTTTAACGAGATTAAACATTAATTAGTCTTTAAAAAACATAAATCATTTTCTTTGACTATAAAATTAAGTAACGTAGTTATTTGACATAGACAAGATTGCGCATTTTGATGACACTAAAGTTAGAAATAATCAATGAGTAAATAAAGTTTAGAACCTAAATTTAATATTTAAATTTGACGAATGACAAATTGTGGTTTGGAAGTATCAACTGCTCGGCTTTGTTTAGCAAAAGTTACTTTCGTTTTTCTTCACGCATTTAACACGCACCGAGTAATATTTTTTCAATTCAGAACCAAGCGTTCTAATGCTACCGAATAGTTCTATATAACCGGGGGATGTGCGATGTTGAAAAAAATATCGATATCGTCAATTTTAGTGTTTTAATAACTATCAAACTTACGATGCATCAGCAATCGATAGTATAACTTAGTGCAATGGGCTGGTATATAAACAAAGTGATAAAATGTTAAAATTCCCGCATTTTCCCCACATAGGGCCAATCCCCACAAAATCCTCAATCGAGTTGAAATTCCCGCAATTTGCGGAACTCTCTATAAATTGGCAACACTGATTCGGACCTAAACTATCTTCGGCAGTTGGCAGCGCTGATTCCTTCCCTCCCCACTACCTCTTCATTTCGGCCAGCGCCATTTTGATTTTCATTTGCCATCGTCCGGCTTGTGTCATCTCTCTGCTACGTCTTTCCGAAGAGGATAGAATTAAACTTATATTTTCCATACATGGATGATTTCTAAATCTTCGGATGTGATAGTCGCTGCGTTGTGAACTGTTTTTGTGTAAAAATGTTTACGCTGCTGTAATTTAGTGTTTGATGGTGTTTTTTTAGCGTTTCTGTAGGTAAGTCAGTGAAACTATGTCGTGGCGTCATTACGGTGTAAAAAGTGAATTTACTAGATATCGATTTATTTGCTATGTAGTTAATTTAATTACTGCTTAATTAATCGTAATCATGTTAGATATGCCTCAATAGCTACCTGAATAAGCGAGTTCAAGCGTTTGACAGAAATTTTTATGGTTATTTATTTTTCCGAGATTATAATTTCTACATTTTCCGAAGAACTGATTAAGCTACTCATGAACTTGAGTTTAGTAAGGAGATTTGTGTAAGTTGTGATGCATTTTTGTACAGGTTTAATTACGCATTAGGCTCTATGTAATAAAGTACAATTACGCTTCTACGTAGCCTGAATAAGTTCTCGAACAATCTACTGCATAAAATGTTATCGGCATTTGTGTAAAACGGCGATTTTACTGTTCACTAAGGACTGAAAGCACTTTATATTAAAATGTACACATAGTAGTAAGAAGTACCTACAAGACAGCTTTGTGTCCATTGAAAAGCTTTCAAAACTCGAGATCCATGTAATCTACACACACATACCTAAAATTACATTATAGTTGGTTTACAACATTGTACAAAACAACAAGATTATTAAAAAACACCACATTCATGTAACAATACATCACTTCCATTATGGTATGTAGGTATACTATATGCTGTGAAGTTTAGCTTGATAAGAAGGGCAGTTCAGCAAATGATAGAGAACGTAAATTTGTAGCAGTGTCCTACAAATTATATTTTTTAAACATCACAAAACAATAATTATAATACATATATGTATTGCCACAAATTAACACACTGTCATTTAAATCCACACAGCACTGTTGGATTAGATTCACTAAGAAATATTGTTCATGTTTATTTTCACAATGCATTCATGAGGCGGACGTTATTAACGAATTAGGCTGGGGTTCCACCTCTATGTTGAGGACATTCCAATGGTTAAGGTTTGCACATTTATATGGTGAACAGGTATTTAGTGGAATCCACTGATTATAGACTTATTCCCTGAATGCTTAAACTTGAGCCTTTTCAAGGCAAGAGTGAACAGGCATTATTGTGATACCTCCAACGAACACTATGCCAAGTTTATTTAGTGGTCATTTACTGTTAATATTATGCTCCTTGAATTTAGTGACAAAACAAAATAAAAACATGTCCAAAAATTAAGTTGACATAGTGTTCATAAAAGGTATCGATTTAGGCGCGCATGCACCATCATGTTCTATTCGGTCAGATGGAGGATTCTTTTCCGCTTTAATCTGCCATTGGCTTGTTTTATAAAAAAATGTACTGATTTCAGTTATAAGCATTATGATAATGCACAAACACACTTATAGCCCTGCACTAGGGAAACCCTGTATTGCAACTGCCATGGACACACACATAAGCCGACAACCATAAATTACACCCAAACTCCTGAGTGAAATAAATGTAGGCCATACAAATATTTCTCCAGACACGGGAATCAGACATGGGATCTCTGCATGGCAGTCCAGTGTGGTAACTGTTAGGCCAAGGTGGCAGTTAAAACACATTTAAATATATGATAGATCTCAATTGCATTGATTTGTGTCCCATCACTAGAGTTCACAAAGTTTGACCTGTGTAACTCTAACCAAGCTAAATTATATTTTTAATTGATAAATTCAGAGAATAATGTTAATCACCTCATTATGTTTAAAGTCTTAAAATACCACACTCTCAGGGATAGTCCAGTAATATTTTCGAGTCATTAGTGCTTCCTTACAGGGTATGGTTGCTACCCACTATGAAAACTGCACACATTAAAAGAAGTGTGGTCATTATGGATTGCAATAGGCAGAGTATAATTATTTTCCTGGATTTCAAGGAAATAATACATTTAGAAAGTATAATCCCTCGGAAATCTTGGAGTTGTTACATTTTGTTCTACATTTCTGATGAGTAACTAGCAAACACCTTTCTACAGTAGTATAATTAGAAGAAAGCTTTTGTTAAGTATAACAAAAAATATAACTATTTTTTCTGTATTATGTTGTAGAAGTTTAGGTAAATATGTTCCGTCATTGGAAATTTCTAGTGTCAGCTCTGTGTCTTGCCAAGTCTTCTGGTATTTAAGACATGAGGTTGTGTGTTATCTGGGCAGCAGACGTCCACCAATGACTCTTCAAACATAGTGTGACTAAGGCTGCTAACAGATTGACTGCATGTTTGCAGTTAATGCGTGCAGTCGTAATCAACTTCATGCAGCTGAGTCCTCGTCTGCATGAAGTCGGTTTCGACTACGTGCAATTATTAATGCGTGAAATCGTTATGTGAGTCCTCGACTGCGTGAGCGTTGTAAACTGCATGCACTCGTGGTCTCGGCTGCATGACGTTGACGACTTTACGCATTAACTGCAAATGCATTCAATCTGTTAGCGGCCTAACTAGGAGACACTTATTTTGAAGTGTGTACAGTTGTGTTTGTGAGATAACACAACCCTAAAGTAGCTGATCATCTAGTATTTCTATGATTACTTACATTAACATCTTGCATTACAATTTTGTTGTCTTTATTTTACTGATATTTAATTTGATTGAGAGAATAAGCTATCCAGTTTATCAGTTCCTAATTACCAAAGAGTTGATTCTATTGTACAAAAGATTCAGAACAGTCTACTGTTCTCAAAGTTATACTATGTACGGATAGCTACACATCAGACTACAACATTTTTGTTCGAAAATCGCCTCCAGTGCAACGGAACAAGATACGTCAATGTGTAGCCTGATGTGCTGGCGTGTGTACATTTACGGACACACAATTTTAGGGGAACTGATATGAGTATTTTTATTAATCCTTAATGAAATTCACCTTTAAAGCAGTATGAAGTAGAAAATTTTTCCATCACATTTTAAGTTAGGCTCTTGTCGCTTCATTGTTTTTGAAGATTATATAGTAGGGTAGAGATGTGCACCGATCGCAAAATCGTTGCGGCGGCGGCGGCGGCTGCGTCTGATGGTTTTTCGACCGGCGGCGGCGGCGTGATCGGCGTGGCATATATTGTTCAGGTGTCAAAAGAGCACAAACGTTGTCTACCAACTATTGTATAATATTCAACGTTTTCTCCACTTTGTACTATGGAGTTTCACACCTCAAAAGCACCTGCATTTATGCGCCGTCTATCGGGAGGAATAGTCAGTATGTACGTACACAGGAACGTTATTAATTTTAATTGTTGAAGTAATAAATAATTGACAAAGAAGGTGGTAACCTTATTAAAAATGAAATACATTTTCGCCTCGCTGATTTTACGCTGGCGGCGGCGGCGTCTTAAAATCATGTCACATCGGCTACGGCGTCGCAAAATCATCGCACATCGGCTGCAGCGGCGGCACGGTGCACATCTCTAGTAGGGAATCTCAGTTTGACTCAGGTTTTGCACTTGCTATACGTCATACGTTACAGAAGCAACATCTTTCTTCTAAACTTGGATACATATATTAAATATGAGGATATATTTCAGATATCTGTAATTAGCTTTAGAAGTACCAAATAAAACACCACAAAACAAAATATAATTGTATAGACAGCTTTTGTTTTTCTCCGTATCTTTTTTAGCAATGCAATTACCATTACTTACCATGTGATTTTAGAAGTCTGTCGAATATGAAAATTTTTTTAATAGCCTCTGAATGCAGATCTTTATGTATAACTGTAATATTTATTCGATCGTGCAGTTTCCTAAACTGTATAAATAAGATGAAAATAAAATCTCCCCTGCATACCGCACTGACCTGCACGGAAAGGATGATTTTGGTAACAGAAGTAAGGAATTACTGTTCGTAGAATTGTATTAGGAATTTTATAACCTGTGATTACGTTCAAATCGAAATATGGACAGGCTTTTTCTATTCTTTATAGGTACATTGGAGCATCATGAGTGTCATCATACGACTACAAAACCTGCCGTGGTCGGCCAATGCGCTGGACATTAGGAATTTCTTTCGCGGCCTCTCCATTCCAGAGGGGGGTGTACACATCGTAGGAGGAGAACTGGGCGATGCATTCATTGCCTTCAGGTAGCTATACGACACATTCAATTAATATCTGCATCATTTTCCTAGGATACATTCCTTTGAAAATATGTCAGAGATTTCAATTCAATGACTAGACTTTAATTAATTAAGTAGACATAAGAACTTTGGTAATTTTGAATAAATGGCCCACAACACACCCTCTGTTTTGTACCTCAAAATCTAAAAACAATCATCAAAATAGCTTTAAGAACTCTTGAAATTTTAGTGTTTATAGTGAATTACTAATTCATCAAAAATAGTGGTGATTAGACTAAGACGAAATACTCTTTCGGATGTTCTAATACGTGTACATGAAGGTCTGCGAGATTCTATTTGTATTATATGATGTAATGCAAAATACGGATTGACTTGCGCTGAAAAAGAAACTAAAATGTGGCAATAATTTGCTGCAACAGTTTCGTTTACTTAGGAACTTTCTACTGAAAATATAGTTACTTCTTTCCCCAAATCGGTAAGCGTGAATTTACAACCTTATCTCTGGAAACAACGTATGAAAAACTCCAATCAAGACGACGGAATTCTAAACTACTAGCAAGATTTAGAAAAGTATTGAAGAGGATGGATATTTGGTAAGTTTTTTAACACCCCTTTCATTTTCCATTATGATTTAAAAAAATTTAATACTACAATTTGATTTTGAACCTTTGATCGGTCGGTTACGTGCGTGCTGTTAGTAAAAGATAACGATCTATTGAAATGGCGCAGGCTTATTATTGACTTGGTGCCAGCAAATTTTTGCACGCAAGTATGTACTACTTTGAGTTAATTGCTCATCCACAACCAGCTAATACAAATCGACATTTTTCGATATGACTACCGATACTTTTATAAATTACTGTGGAAAAAGAAATCAACGGGACACACATCTTTTATTTATTAAGGTGAAATTTCTTCAACAAAGTTGTACTAGAATCATAGATACTCTTTTACGTCGTTGGTGAATGTGCAGCCTTTTATATCTGCACACATTAGGTTGAATGCAGAGGATTGCAGAAGAGCGCACGCTAAATAAGATATTGCTTAAATAAAATAAAAAAAAACGACGAATTAGTGGCTGTAACTTTGTATAGAAATAGCCGCTAAACGTTGAAAATCGTGTTTTCAAATATGTTTAATGTCAACAAAACTTTTGAACTTCCGGTGCAACGTCGAAACGAAATACAAAAACAATTTTCAAAGTAATGCCATTATTAATATGGCAGATTTTTCTATTTCTTCGTAGGTACTTTAATTGTTGAGCCTTAATTGTGTAAAGTCGCTATTAAATACGTGAACAACGTAAATACTCGTCAAGTTCTTAGGTTTTCACGATTATTACTTATAATTTTCTCTATCTCTAAGCTCTATTTCGCGTCTTTTTTTTTTTTAAAGAAACCAACGTTTCAGATTGCATTTCTGTGACTATGAAACCAGTACAGTACCCGAAACGTTGGTTTGTTTGAAAATAACAAATATACTCCCATTTAGATTCGAAAAATTAGTTTCATTTTCAAAGTAAATGCTCCTTGGATTTGTTGGTGATTACATAGACAAAATAATTATAGCACTAAAATAAAAAGAATATTAAGTACCTATACATATTTGTGGTCTAGTCCGGCTGTTACAGGCGGAACGAAGAAAAAAAAATTGTGGTCTAAATGTCTCATTTTGGTAAAGCGATATCTATCTATGTATTTACTCGGATTTATGGAGGAAATTCGTCTCGCGAGATCGTCTCGAATACCAAAACAAACGTAACTTACAATTTTGACGGAAAAACGTTATTAACATAATTGGATTTTGCATTTCATGTGCTACGATGTGATATCAATAATTCATTTTCGTCTCAATTCTAAGTTACATCTATTAATGTAATTGTTGTTTTTATTTTATATTTTTCCTGGCTTCAAACGGATAGCTTTTTTCATTTGACTTCCCCAATAAGTAAGACAATCCGGCACGAACAGCTAAGAATGAGGATGCTGCTCTATCACATTTTTCTTTAAAGATTAACTTAATTCAAGGCAACTACTACAATTTTGATCGTAGATTATTTTAGAATTCTGTCCACAAGGCTTGAGATATAAACTCTACATCGTCGACTTACTTTCTCAAAATTTTCACACCACATTTTCTTCATATTCACACTCTGGCTTTTACCTATTCTCAAAGTAATACGTCCAAATTAAAACCCTTGATAATATTTAAAGATTATATTATAAGATTTAAATTAATAGAAAGTTATCTCTTGAATAGTCACTCTTTATAAGAGTTCGAGAAAGTAAGGCCGATGTGATATTTATTTCTAACCACTTTTATCAGCACGTATATTTCTTTATTCAACAATCTTAATATTAAAACTTAGACTTTCGCTATTTCTTAAATTAGTTTCCATCATATCATAAATTGATAGGCCTGAGAAGACAAAGCGTAGACGTCGTCTTTCCGACTCAGTGCTGCCGTTTAAATAACAGTTTCTACTAAGCCAGTCGAACCTTCCAACAAATAATATGATACTGTGGTTTCAACGATGGTACTGAAAAGACGAGCTCAACAATGCAATCGTATAATCTTGTGTCTTCGGTTAAGCCGGCTAGAATTTACTACTGGTGGTAGGACGGGAAAATAAATTTCATTCCCCCACCCCAATTTGACGCACATCTTATCAGCCGGCAGAATAGCACGAAAGCCACGTTGTATGACGTTATGAGACAGTTCCGTAGATATTTCCGATGGGTTTTTGTTTTATTCTACCATCAGTAGTAACGTAAGATCAAAAGGAAACAATGCCATTTGGTAACAAAGTCATCGAGGATTACACACGGCTATCGCCAATGTTTTTGAGATTGTGACTTAGAAATTTAGCAGTAACCCACTATCATCTAAGCAGCCGCAGAGTTTTGAGACCAGTTACTTCCATACCCCTGGTATAAACAGAATTACAAAGTAATAAGCTTATTGAAGTGCCCAAGGAATCCCGTATTTAAAATTGTAAATTGTGTCAACCATGGGAGTCCTTTTGTCTATGTTGACGATCGTGTGCCAGTATGACAAAACTTCCGTCTTGTAATGTTACGCAGGTGTCAGCGACACCTGCAGAACTTCGGCAGGTGTCAGCGATTTATGCAGCCCGTGTAATAGAATGTGGAAGCGCAAAACACATTCTAATCAATTCGGAAATGTTGAGATATACATACTATGTCGACTGTACTGTTTTAATATAAACGATGAAAGTACAGGATGCGTGATGTTTTTGATTCGCTGCGTTCTGTTCGACTCATACGTCACTACAAAGTAGCTTTAAACTTTAGTGAACCATCTTACCTGGACATTTAGCTGTAGCAACGAGTGATCTACTTCAGCTAATATCTGTAGACGTTAATCAATACGATAAAATCTCTAAAACGCCACTTTTCTCCATAATATTTAGAAAAATACACCAACATTTACGGATGAATAATGCATGACACGCAATCGTTACTATGCGAGGGATGTATTTATTCTAAAGACGGTTGATATAGTGTGTAGTCGCGTCTCCAGTGCAGAGCCTTCATCTTCATTCCTTTTTGTAAGGAACTTCTTCGGTGATTTGGATGAACATCGATCATCTGTTAAATTGTGAAACATTAGATAGGACATTTGCAAATACATAATCTTGAACCTCAAGGTGATGACTGTTACATCCGATCATAACCTAATTATATTTTCAGTCTGAGCTTACACAACAGAAGATAACCGACGGATATTTTTGAAGGTACTGTATCATATAGATACAATCACATAATCAGAAAATGTATAACGAGCGCTGATTCAATAGCCACTGAAGTGTTTAGTTGCCTACATATTTGCTCGATTTTCTGACGATCGACATGTCGATCTACAAGAAAATACGATATCGATCGTCTGCTTCTTACATATGTACTCGATTTTGTATCACACATGTTGATCGACAAAAAACACGTGTCGATCGTCAAAAATCTACCAAATCCTGTAAGTAGGCAGCTAAACAATAAAAAAATTGGGTGGTTCTTTATTTGCTTTTATCGTATTGTTTAATTTAATTATTATCGTCGAGGCCGAAATGATCCAGACTAATGTGGACTTCATATATCGTGAAAGATAATAAATACTCAGTAAAATTTACCTTGATTAGAAAGAGATTTGGGCAAAATTAGGACGACTTAAAACTATCCTACAAATTATGTTTTTGTAATGTCACAAAATAATACTTATTTTATCTTATCTTATACTTCCCTTTTTACTACTCCTGAACATAGTATAAATTAAAATCCACAAATCATTGATAAATCGCTGTTGGAGAAATAATTGAACAATTTAAGTTTATTTTCATATTACGCTATATAGTTATTTCTTTAATTGTTCGGATTATTGAGCTAAATGTTTGTTCAATGTGCACTAATATACCTACTCGGTTACATTTGTTTTACGGTAATTAAACTGGAAAAAAAAATTGTGGCGCCACGCCCAGTCATGGGGAGCTCAAGAGGCAATTTCAGTTATAGCTATGATTTAAAAGTGTCATGGTTCAGTTGATATATTTTAACATCGATTTTGGATTTCACTGATCGTAACACATGCCATACTTCATAAACCATCATTTGTGTCGTTCTAGTCCAGTAAATTTTGCGGAGTTTAGGTGTAAACACATAAAACCTATTTTAAAATAACCAGTGCTTTTGTGCAGAATTTACTATAGGTTATTTACGTGCTTATAAATGGCTATAACGTACATTGCGTAAACGCTTTCTGTCAATAAACTTAGCAACACCCTTTCTTTATAGCTCTTCAGAATTAGATATTCCTAGATCCTAACCTCGTTAAACTTTAATCGCAATTGGTGATGTTATCATGTTGGAAGGTCTTTTTGCAATCAGAGTAGATTAAACCGTCTTTTGCGATTTCTTCTTGTGCATTGTAATCGAGTTATTAGTTATCCGTTCATAATTTTTGTAACTATTCCAATTCTTACGTAGTTTAACCAT